TGGCAGAAAAGCTGAAGCCAATTGGAAGTGACCTATATGTTTTAAGCTTGAAAGAAACTTTGAGTGTCTCAAGGCGATGAAAAAAGGAATGGTGGTGAAAGTGGATTCGAAAATTAGATATATAATTGCTTTTTAATAAAGTACCCATGGTTGAAAACATAAACGATTTCTCTGAAGTTATTCGCGATGCGAACTGCCGGATAACTATGCCCATGAAAACCCCTTGAAGTACTATCCACGCGGTGCACACATTATGTGCAAGTTCTTGGCAATGGCCGGTTCCACAGACAGATAGAAGATGTAGTGATGGGTTCATTTATTGGTCCGTTTGTCGACAATGTTTTTATGGGCAAGATTTAGAAAAGAAGAGTCTTAGGATTACAATATTTTACCTTGCATTTTACGGTCGATACGTGAATAAATACTTCTGTCTGGCAGTCAATAACCCTGACAATAACCCTGGTCACGAATTTTAACAGCACGCATCCATCGCTCAGGGTTTCCGCAGAGGTTGAGGTACATGACGAAGTTGCATTCCTTTATGGTTGCTCTACCAAGGCAAAAGGATGGATCTATCTAGCGTAGTGTATTCCAAAGGAACAATGTGTACGGTTCAGTACATCAACGTTTGCTTCCCTAAATATAACACGAAATTTAGTCCAGGAATTGGCAGCTTTAGTCGACACAGAACTCCAGCAGCTGCAGACCACATTTCTTGAAAATGTATACACAGAATGGTCTATCCTCAGGAATATCGGAGAGCGCACCAAAAAGCCTGCCATCTTAGTCGCAGAAAATAAAGACGCGTTAATGAAACTGCCTTCATCAGGCGATGCAACAAGCGCGCGGACAAGAAAACGTCTGAAGACTGTAATCACAAGGGTTTTCCCCGCGGCGACCTTAGCGTGTTCTTCGCGAACTCTCGCGCGACTCCCTTTGAAGGCTATATGTATGTGCATTTAGATTGGCTGAAGGAAGGGGTACCTGGAAAAGAGGATATATTTACACACACCGGTTTGGCTAACTGAAAGTGAAGCTGCATCGATCTCGAGTCCTATTTTTGCATACCTTCTCGATACGAATCACCGAGTCGATCCTAACGAAGCGCTTCCGGTTTCCTACCGGAAACCAACCAAGTTCTTCAAGAGCCCACTCCAACGGGTGCTAACAACAGCCAAGGCAGTGGCTATACGGCTAGCAAATCCAGTGCTGTGTTGTCGGAAGATGCTAATACAAGCAGTATCACTTCCGTGGCCGACTGCGATGCCAGGCGGCAGTCGCATATCGCCCCCACGCCTTGGTGGCAGTTGTTCTCTCAGTGAAAATACTGCACTTACCTAATCAATGACCAGTGCTCACAGCCAATGATAATTTCTTCCTCCCCTCGTCCCAGACTAGTGACTTCTACACGCAGATCTCGCCATGCGGGCGGCGTGAAAACGATGGGTTGTACTCTTAAGACAATTACTAACCCTATCCAACTGTACGAGTTTCATTATCCGTGAAATTGCACCGGCCCAATGGTTAATTGCTGGAAACATAGGTTTGCAGAATAGGCTTTTCAAATCTAAACACGGGAATATTTTCAGAATTGTATAGCCATATTGAAACAATCGGCAGGCAATGTATGTTTTTACTTGTCGTTTAGATCATTCAATTTAAATGCTAAGATCCAGTACAAACATAAATCAGCAAGTCCAATCTGCTTGTTGAGGGTTTTGCACGTTGCCTTTGCCGGCAATGCTCTCTGCGTATGCTACCAGACACTGTGTGGTGGCTAGCGGAGTTGGAGAGTGAACCCGAGGCAGAGCGGTACGGGTGAGACCCATTTGCGATCGCTAAACGTTCATCAGCGCATGTCAACATCTTCCCATCTAAAACGGCAAAACACAGAGCCCATGCTGCAATTAGGTTAGGGTATTATACTTCTAACAAACAGGTCACGGCTTCCGGTGGTGTATCACCTGGGCTTGTGTATGACTGGCTGTCGACGCATAATGGGGGTAATAGGAAGACGGTGTTTGCTACAGCGTGTGCATTAAGCAGATTATTTTATCATGTTCGCGATGCACTCACAAGGCATCGACGTTCTAACAGGTATCAACTGGACTAAAATCCCTTCATTATACATTCATACTGCCTGAAGATGGTAAAAATCGTTCACTCTAAAGTCTTTCTTAAGAAGTTACTGCGGAATAACTGCAAACTATTCACAAGCCACCGCCACCCTGCAGTCAGTAGTATATGAATACTGAATTATTTACCCCGCAAAACGGCTAGAAGTCCAAACGCCTGTGTATCGCCGAAGTTGCGGCCCTGTATGACACATCAACGAGTGTGTCAGCTCATCAATGGATCAATCGCAGGCAGTTAAGAAAGTTAAGTCCTAGGAACTGCGATCCTCAGGTCCCGGTTCCTTAGGGGAGAAGAGAAGTCATAGAAGGCCAGAATGGAAGGAACAGTTTATTCTGTAGTCAGGCAATGGAGAATAGGCAGTAGGATATTAACTGTCAGACGAGCGAGCAACCGCAATCCATACGGGCGCGTCTGTAGTAAGGTGATCGCGGGAATCGCCACAGCGTCTCGAGCGGTGTTTGCGTGAGTCGGCCTTGACATGTGACTGGCCAGACCGCGTAGGCAAGCGGAGGCATGTGCGGCCCGTTAGCAGCACTAAGTGTCCAATAACGGCTGTCCAAAAGGGAGGTCGATACTTGTCATCATGTGAGGGTCTGCGCGGCTTTGGGCCACTGCAAATCCGCCAGAGTTCCCCGTTTAAGCGGTTATTCCGCAGTAGGTGATAGAGATCATGTCACAGTTTTACACAAACTTTTGAACCAAGCCTCAAAAGCACTCTTCCAGATAATTAACTCCAAGTTCACACGTTAATTTCCCCGAAAATTAAACTGGACAGAATGGCACGTCTTGCTGGTCTCGCCACCGGACGAAGAAATAGTCCAGTAGATGCCAGTGCTGGGGGTGGATCTTGGCCACCGTCAGTCGCAGTGTTTGTCGGGATGCGGCGGCGCTTGGCGCAGATTCGCAGGAGAAGCAGACCATTGTCATGGAAGTAGCGGAGACCGTAGGAACCCAGCACTCCGCTCCAGGCTGTGTGTTCTATTCCGACGCGGGCGCTAGGGTAACTAAGTAAAATCAACTTGCCCGTCTGCAAAACAGTCACCAGGAATGCATACAGATTCTCGCAGATATAATTCTTTGCCCCTCCGAAACTAGCCATTGGGAAACTTAGGCGCTTACGGTGGAGGTGGCTTTGTCAACCGACGACGCAAGAAGATGCTGATCTGGCAACTGGTCATGCCTAGCGGCTGATGGATAAGGCCTCCTAAAGATATCGGTGCAGTTCGTAAAGATGACCTCGGCATCGCCTCAGTCTGTCCGTGGCAAGGCCGCTCCACAAAAAGGTGAAACCGGTATAACTCTCTCCTCAAAGAAGAGGGTTTTGCTGAGTGCGGCGATGCTTACCTTGTAGTGCGCCAGTTCCCGAGCGATTAGCGTTGTACTTGGTCCTGGTCAACTACTTCTTGGATTGTCTTAAGGAAAACGAACACTCTAGGCTGCAACAGTCGTTTTAGTATTATCAATAGTAGTAGAACTAGTATTATTAGCAGTAGCAACAGTATTAGGGTTTTAGTACTAGTATATGCA